ATTTCATGCAACAGTTGTATAGTAATATAATGCTACAACCTTCAAAAACCATATTACGCCCATTTTTCAATATAAATTTTACAATATATACTGTTTTCATTCTAATGAATATTCACAAAAAAGAAAAATTTGAAAAAACGTAACCTATAAAGTATTTTTTTTTAGCTAAATTACTATAAGCCATCCATTTTTGTGAGATGCTTAGATCTAGGCATTAGAATGATTTTTTTTCTTTTTCAAATTTTTTTGATAATTTTTTTATCATTAGATTAATAATATTAAAAAAGAAAAAAAATGATTTTGGTTTCATAAAAGTCTAGATCTTGAAGTTCATCAAATAGACGGTCTAGATTCATTGTTGAAGGGGACTCATTTTGATCATATATATGGTGCAAATTATTATTATTTTTAGATTGATTAGTGAGATGAAGAGAGCATGTGTGCAAAATTTGAGGTCATACAAATGCCAAAAATATGTTTTTCCAGAGGTATGGTTGCATTAATTTCATACAATAGTTGTATAGTAGTATAATGTAACCATACCTCTAAAAAAGCATGTTTTTGGCATTTTTATGACCTCAAATTTTGCGCACACATTCTATTAATCCTCATAATCAATCCTATAAAAACAAAATTCAACTTGCACTCTAGATATGGTCAAAATTAGTACACTCTAACAATGAATCTCGGCTGTCCATTTGGTGAATTTCAAGATCTAGCCCTTAACAAATTCAAAATCACTTTTTTCTTTTTTTGCATTGTTAATCTAATGATGATAATAATGTATAAACGTTTGGAAATAAAAATATCCTTCTGATACCAATATCTAACCATCTCACTAAAATAGATGGCTTATATTAATTATGTTAAAAATAAATTTCTGGGGCTTTTTTTTCAAAATTTTATTTTTGGTAATTGATCTTTAGAATGAAAAGAATGTACATTTAAAAATATGTCTCAAATAAATGCTCTAACATGGTTTTTGAATATGGCATCATTATAGATATATATAGATGTGTTTTGCTAGGCTACACCACTTGTGGTGTATATTCTTAAAGTCCTCAACATTTTTGGACATTTAAATACTCTTGAAGTGTAATATGAAAATTTTCAAGTAGGGGCATTTTTTATCATTTAGAAGTGTAGACTAGATATTTTCATAAAAAAATAGTGACATTCTTTTAATAGTTAAAAAACAATTAATGCATCTCGAGGGTGATGTCCCACACTATGTAGGGTGATGTCATTGTCCATTATTGTTAATAAATATTTTTGTTTCTATTAAAAATTCCTATTTTACCCTTGACTAATTACTTAACATATCTCTAGATAAAAAGTTACTACACTATAGGATAAAGTATCTAAGTATCCAAAA